ATCTAATCCTAAATCTAAACTTATTCACTAAAGTTACCAATCTGAGTAATATATTACCGACGTTCCCTAATCTCCAATCTATAATCATTATCCCTTCATCATCATCGTGAAGAGATATCAATATCCCTTACCGATCTCTTATCTACCTTTCCTTGCAATTTACTCCAATTAACCTATTTTATTCCTAAAGTGAAATAACCTTGGAAGACCCATGCTTCGGTAATAAGAATAAGCAATTATTTCGTTCTTTTCACCGAGTGAGTACGGTAACCTCACCAGAGCTCCAAATCTCCTCTCTCAATAATCCTGGGAGGGGTGAGGGGGGGAGGGTCTAAGCTTAAAGGGCGGCAACGGACTAGTGACTTTTAAGTTGCAGGTGTCTATGGGCTGCAGTACTTTTATACCATCAGGAGACCCGGCTGCTTATTTGCATCCTTGCATATTTGCATCCTTGCACCTATGCCAAAAAAAATGTCTGACTGACCGCAATAGGCTTGCTTGGCTTAATAGGGAATTACGTAGGTAGGACTAATTTTGAAGTGAAAACTTCTGTAGGTGCGTTGGGTATTTTTGAACAACAAACATAATAATGTATTTTTTTGAGATGGGAAGAACAATTGAACTCGCGACACTGTTACCGATACTACACCTCTGTACATAAGTATCTACATATACATTCAGTCAAAAAAATATCGGGAAGGGATGAGTTGTTTATACCAAATTCAATTTTTTGTTTTTTTTTGTTGTTAGATTGGCACAACTGTTTTTCATTTTGGCGCGGACTTTGAGTTGCATCTGTTATTTATATTAAATCCAGTGCTGTTTTTAGTTATATTATATCTAGTGTGTATTGCGAATTTCATAATGGTCAAAAACATCGAACAAAGAGTTTGTCTTGAATTTTGCATCGCCAATGGAATTTCGTGTTCGGAGTAACTGAAAATGTTACGGTGAATCGACTCTATCAAAAACACGTGCTTATGAGTGGTACAAAGCGTTCAAAAGCGGTCGACATGTGATGGAAGATTTGCCTCGTTTTGGTAGGCCATCAACGTCTGCAACTGAAGTTAACATCGCAAAAGTGAAGGAAATAGTGACTGAAAATCCTCATTCAACTTTGAGAGAGATAGCCGCCGAACTTTCCGTATCTCACGAGTCCATCCGTACCATTTAACTAATCATTTGGGTATGAAACATGTTACCGCTCGGCTAGTCCCAAAAGTCCTGAATATTCTCCAAAAACTTAATCGCATGAGAGTCGCTGAGGACATGCTAGAACGAGTCAATTTTTTTTTATTTTTTATTTACAACTTTATGCACCTTTGTACATCGGCGGGCTTTCAATGTCCAAGGTATTCTCTACCAGCTAACCTTTGGGGGGTGTAGAAATCTGGTGAGGTAAGTGCACTGAGGTTGCAGTTGCTATAGTAGTTATAAATAACATATAAAATTACACACATATACATATATACTTAATTCCTACCCAACATTCATGAAACGCATTGTTAGTGGTGACGACACGTGGGTTTACGAGTTTAACATGCAAACTAGTCAACAAGCTTCGGAGTGGCGCCTTCCAACTGAACCGAAACCGGAAAAACCACGCCAAAGTCGATCAAAAGTCAAAAAATCTTTTAGATAGTTAGTCGACCAAAGTGTTGTGCACTCTTGACGGAACGTCAATCGGTAAAAAAGCGTTATGCGGCACTTAAGAGAGCAAATTTGACGAAAAAGGCCAGATTTGTTGAAAGAAAATTCTTGGATTTTGCACCATGATAATGCGCCTTCGCACAAGGCCATCATTGTGAACGAATTTTTGACCAAACACTCAACAAATACCGAGCAACCACCATATTCACCAGATGTGGCTCCAGCCGACTTCTTTCTTTTTCCTAAACTCAAATTACCACTTCATGGCACCCGTTTTCATTCGGTAGAAGACATAAAGGAGAATTGGCAGCGAGAACTGAACTCAATTCCGGAAACAGCGTTTAAAAAATGTTTTTGTGATTGGATTATTAACTGGCGTAAGTGTATCGTTTGTGAAGGAGCATACTTTGAAGGTGAAACATTTTGTGTATTATTGATCTTTTCCCGGTACTTTCTTGACAGAGTAGTATTTTCGTTTCGTTTAGACGAGAGTTGAGTTTGGGTTGAAAAACATTGATAATATAACTATGTATAATATAAACATAAATTGTGTATGAATATACGTACAACATAGATATATATTCGAACTTTTCGAATCCAGAAAAAAATTGTTGTAATTAATAAAAAAAAAAACAATTTTGCAGTTTTCACTTCTGTCGGTACTCCCGAGTGCCACTGTTTTATATACCGTTTAATCCTTATGTATAAAAGGGATATAGACATGGGTATATTAATGTTTGTATCTAAAAACTCTCCACTTGTCTATTGCAAACCAGGCTTAAAAGTGATCATAGAGTTAATAAATATTATTGCTGGTCGTTTAAGAATAGAGTTACCTTAACCCACCAAGTGAAAATGTCACACTGATGTAAGCAGGAACCAAAGAGTATGAGTATGAGTCTGTCATTATTTCGAAATTATTTTTGAGCATGAGTTGACCCACGATTTACACAAAAATTGTTAATAAAATTTTGTGGTGATGTGATTGAAGCAAAATTCTCGTAACACCCACAACAACTCTTCGAGGAGTAGAAGGGGGAACTCGAAGATGGTATTACATATTACAATATGTCGGTGTGTAAAGCATTATTATTTGTGGATAGTGTACTCAATAAGTAGTTCATTCATAACATTTTTTGTGTGGTCACGCTATTATGACATATATTTTAATAACATTCGCTACTTTTTAGCGCGAGAATAAACCTGGCAAAATATGAGACTTGAAGGCCAATTTTTGTAATAAAAAATCTATCAAAATTCAGTCCCGATCAACTTGCAACTCTGTAATAAAATGTATTTTTGTAGTAAAATAGTAAAGTATTACTAACACTAACCATCGATTTAATTTTTGGTCACAATACGATTTTAGTAATCACATTACAGTCAACGTTGGATGTTTAGTACTTTAATATGAAATTAGTTTTTATGATAGTTGTGAGATCGAGAGTTGAGAGTTTCGATTCTTTAGAAATCTGTCCAATTTTATTAAATAATTTGTATAATTCACACAATTTGGCTTTCACAAAGAAAAATTTCACAGAGAAACATGTATCTACAACGCAGGTGCAGACGATTACGGGCACGCCGTCATTGCGGCGGTAAGACCCGTTATGGAGGATTGGCTCGAGAGGCGTCACGGGACCCTCTCATACCGATTGACGCAGGTGATCACTGGGAAGGGATGTTTCGGAGATCACCTGTGTCTGATCCGCAAGGAGCCAACGCCTGAGTGCCACCACTGCGATGGCCAGACCGTGGACACGGCTCTCCACACGCTGGCAGAGTGCCCGGCGTGGGTTGAGCAGAGGCGAGACCTCGTGGCGGCCATCGGAGTGGGAGTTCTCTCGCTCGATAGCCTGATTGCGGCTATCGTGCGGAGCGAGAGTGCGTGGAACTCTGCCGTCTCCTTCTGCGAGCAAGTTATGCTCGCGAAGGAGACGGCGGAGCGGGACCGGGAGAGGTTTAGAACTCTCCCGGCCCGCCAGGCCCGGGCACGGGCCAGGCAGCGCAGGCGACTCAGGCGCCTCCGTCCGTCCTCCATAAGCGTCAGACCTCCGTCCTCCATAAGCGCAGGCCTGGGGGTGACAGGTGAGGCCATCTGTCACCCTAGCAGAAGCAGGCCGGGGAGGCGGCGAGCGCGTTGCGAAGCGCGCTCGCTTCCAGGGAGCACAGGGAACATGGGGTTCCCACACGGGGCGGGGGTCGTCTACTCGTCTGTAGATGACCCGAGGTATGTCGGGGCACCAGGGCCTTCCTTTCTAGGGTATACCTGGTTCCCCGGCTATTAGTACCCGGCGAAGGCGTGCGGTTTTAGTCGGTTCGAGTCCGACATGCCACCGACAGGTGGTATCCGAGGGGATTTCCGCACGGAAAAAAAAAAAAAAAAAAAAAAGGTGCAGACGATTAGGTCCCTGTGACAAATGTTTAAATATGAGAAAGAAGAGTTAATATTTTAATCATTTGCTTTAGGTTTATGAACCAAGGGTTCCCAAGCACGTTTTAGACCTTTGTCATTTTTTTTTTTAAAACTAAGCTCAACTCCTTTACGTTCCAAATCAGGGTAGGGACGATCGTCTTTGCGATGTGGCCCGCAGCGGCGGGCCGGCACCAGTCGGGGATTGCGGAAGTCACCTCAGTTCCCGCGATCCCCGGCGTAGGTGAGAGACGGAACACCGGGGGGTTTTAGTCAGTAGGAGTCCGACAGACCCCTCCCCCTTTCCCCTGGGCGGAGGACATCCATAAGGATCTCCCCCCGTTAACAAAAAAAAAAAAGACGACCGTCTAGTGTGAAGAAATGACTTTCGTAATCACTAACGGTGCAACCAATCGAGACGTACTTTCATGATACAAAGTTATAGTTTAGAATAGAATAATTAGAGGTTATAGCATTCATTGCGGGATGAAATTGCATCTCGATTGACTAAGTCTGTATTTTATATATTTTACTGCATATACTAAAAGATTTTTTAAATTATGGCTCGTGACTCGACTCTAAAGTTGATGATAACTACCTCTGAATGATCCAAACTCTACTCTTGGCAGATTAGACAAATGCAGTACTAATACGCCTGTGTGTGAGCTTAAGGAAAGGTTATAAGTTACTTACTTGTACAAACCAAAAAAGTCTACTAGTTTCTAATTTCATAATATATATTTTTTCAGGTTATGTACGTTTAACAAGAGGTGACGTCCACGACAAGTCGTCTCTACATAAGCACTACTAGTTTTAAGATCAAATGTATTGTCAATGTGATTTGGAATATGATTTGTTACTAGTCCTGTAGACAGTTTTGTGGTCGTCATATGTCTGTAAATAAATACTAATTATATTCCAGTAATACTTTCCCACAATGAAGCGGCACTCTGAAAGTTGCTCATGCACTAATTGCGCTTATAAAAGTCGTTCAAAGAGACCATCCGTGCAACAAATTGTAGCGGATGGCACGCGAATTGATAAGCTCTTTTACGGTAAATATTTACCTTTGAGAGAAAGGAAATTACTCGAGAAATTGGTTAGAACTCGTGCTGTCTATGATAATGTAAAAGATCGACTACTTTCTGCCAGTGGAAGTAGTGATCTCACAAGATCAGATTACACTGGTAAAAGTCGAGCATATTACAGAAATAGGAAAAAGAAAATGATTGAAGTCACTGATAGAGGAGAAATCAGATCATCGAATACCAGCAAACTAAGTAGCTGTTGTAATTGTTGTTCATGTAGTTCTCTTAAAAAAATTAAAGAAAGTATTGAGAAGCATCCTCATGTACATAAGCATTACGTACCTTATGAAAATATTGCAAAGTATAGTAAGAACGATGAAATGCGAGCAAAGGCTAGGCGTAGACGATTGGGTTCGAAGATAAGTGAAAAAATGAGAGATTTGCGTTATAAATCCAAAAACATTCGTTCAGACCCCTGTTTTTGTACATTATCTTTGATAAAATTTTCATCTAAAAGGTCAATTAAAAAACTTAAATCGAAAGAAGATGCAAAGAGAAGTATTGGACCAACAATATCATTTGCAGAATCAGAATTAGAACGTAGAAGTAAAGCAGGGCAAAAATTAAGAAGCATCCAACAATCTATAGTAAACAGTATAGAAACACGTTTTAAAATAAAAAAAGATTCTCTTAGTTTATTTAGAGCAAAACTTAGAAAACGTGCTATGAGACGCAGGAGGCACGATTCAGAGTCTTACACACCGGAGTTTAGACCTAGACGTCGTAGACGAAAAAAGAAAAGCCATCATAGACTTTCTGGAATATACGTTAAAAGTGTAACTTCTGCAACTTCTAAGCCAAAGTTTAAAACTTCAGCAGTAAAAATGAAATCGAAGCGAAAAATGAGGAAACGGCATAAAAGTAAAGGAAAAATGATGATAAATCGAGAAAGTCAAGTCTCTGTTCTCGGTAAAATTACTAGCAAACCCTCACAATATCAGCAAAGAAAATATCGTACGTCTTCAAGTATAACAAATACATCATTGAAAACAAGCTCAAAATCAGGAGTACAAACACAAATTAAACCACGAAAAAAATCTACTACTAAATATACTATAAATAGTTCAACCCAATCAAATTCTTCAGATTCATTAAAAAAAAATCAGACTGAATTTAGTCTTAGACGTTGTTTTTGTACTCTTAAATTAAAAAAGAAGAAACGCAAGCTAAGATCATCGATATCCAAAAAAACAACGTCTTCTTTCTCTACTCAACACTCAGACAAGCGAGACCATAATATGCGAAATAGACAAACAAAATCTATTGTTGGGGAACATGACAACGTACCTAAGGAATCACTGGTATCGCCTACTGAATGTGAGTGTGATACAGAAATGAGAGCACATCATCGCAAAGAAATTAAAAGAAATAGAAAATTAACTAATACTGAGAAGATCCCCCAGAAATCTACCACTAGCTTAATTTTCGAACGCAGTCCTCATACTCGCCAAGAAAAAACTCAGAGTGAAAAGAGAAAAATGAAACATGCGTACGCAAAGGCAGTCGAAGTTCATAGACCCAGTGTTAATGATATGCCGTCACAGGTAGTTAAAAGTAATAAAACGAAACCCACCAACACTGAGGCGTTTTGGCACAAATGTTTTTGTACTCTAAAATTCTTTAACAAAGATAGTTCAAAAAAACACTCGGGCATTATAATTCAACCGCAGAAAAAAAAAGATGTTATTGTGAGAGTGCATAGTAGAATGACAACAAATCACTTGGAAAATATGAAATACTTTCATGAACCTTCTAGACTCTCATCATTTGAATGCGAACCTGGTATTTGCAGTCCAGACCAATGTAATCCTCAGGAATGTAAAAAGTTTATTAAAGCTCGTCATGCAAGATCCAAAAATAAATATTCAGATACAAGCTCAAAGAATATAGTACTTATTCATGAAAATCCAAAACTTTTGCCATATGAATGTGAACCGGGTGTTTGTATTCCAGGTCAATGTAATCCCTCTGAATGTCAAAAGCTTATTAAACATCGTAATGTACAACACAAAAATAAATATCAAGAAACAAATATCGATACACGATCAACTTATAGTGAAATACCAAGACAGATAATTTCTTCGAAGACACAACAATCTCTATCTCTAGCAAGAGAAAAGAAAACAAATAAGATCAACCATTATCCTAAAGAGCCAGAAGAAAAAATTGGTTCGGGACATTCTAATAGAGAAACCGTAAGAATTGGTTCAAATATTAGTTTTAATATTGAATTTTACAAAGAACGCCCTTTAGTTGATAGTATCAAGGAAAGTGATAATACTTCAAAAGCTATGAAAAAAGAGACACGGGAAAAGCCCTCCAGGAAACCTAAATATACAAGATCTAGACAGACAGTTAACATAAAAACAAGAGGGCTCCAATCAACAACAAATACAAAGCATATAGCATCATCGGCTGAACCAAAAACCAAAAAACGACATGTTTATGTTGGTTCTCCAAAGAAAACAAAATGTTTCTGTACTTTAAAACTTCATAAGAAGGGAAGAAATGCAAAAAATAAAGAAAACATCTTTTTAACCAGCAGAAGTACTAAAACGACCCTCGAAATGTTCGAACCAGGACTTAACACTTCTGTTATTAAAAGTACCAATACCAGTAAAATTTTCAGACACAAGCTTAAAAGTAATGAATGTGCTCCAGGTTTCTGTGTTCCAAATAAGTGCGATCCTTACAAATGTTATGATTCTATTAGAAATAGAGGTATGAGAAGATATCATAGTCGACATATCGCCACAGGAAGGGAACTAAGATCAGTGTTAAGCATGACTTCAACTGAATTTAGTAGTAGCAACAAATCAAGAAGTACTCAATCCAGCAATGTAGTGCAACCACTGCAAGAACACAGAGTGAAAAATAGGCCAGAAAAAATTGAAAGTAACTATTCACCTTCTCGACAAGCTGTCCGGATTGGGTCAAATTTTAGTTTTAATCTAGGTTTTTATAAAGAAAATTATAATACAAATACTCGGGAGAAAACTATACCAACCATGTATAATACTGTTGGCAATTTAACATATATTTGTGACATCAAACCAATAAGCATGAAACACAGACAATATGTTTCAAAACATCACTTATTACGTGCAAGTGATATAGTTAAAACAAACGATAAGGTGCCTAATGTTGGAAATATATTGAAGAGGTGTTTTTGTTCGCTTATGCTACATACTAAAGATTGTGGTAGAAATGACTATAACCCTTGTAGCTTTAATCCTAAAATAACACAGCTTACAGAAATTATACCAGGACAGAAATACAAAAAATCTGTTTGCAAATTTAAATCGTTAAATCCAATATGCATACCAACAGGCAAATGTAGTGAAAAATATATATCGGGGCGTGATCTGCACATGACTAACATCAAGTTAAACCGAAATGAAGGCATTGTTAAGATTAAAAGTCAGAATGGATATAAAGCAAATAAATGTAGTAAAAGTTCGCATTCCAGTTATAATGACTTTAGAAAATATGTTGAAAATAGTAACAACTCCATACCAAAATTGCAACAATACAGTGAATATCAAGTTGAAAAAGTATTAAATGATCCGACACAAAGAAATACAAATCCATTTTATAACTCTTTTTACGCTTTAAATTTGAAGGTGTCTCGGGTACGTAAAATACCACAAGATCTTGAAGATGACGAATGTGAGCCCGAATTTTGCGTACCATATCAATGTGATGCAGCTGAGTGCTTAAGAAGAATAAAAAGTCGCTTAAAGTCGTGGAAGGAAACCGGGACGGATTCACTCGATACCACACCAGCCGCAAGTATGACGGATCGAATGCGGTTAAGTCACAACTATGTTCAAGCGGATAAGCATAGCGCATTGAAAGTTTTTCATCCTAGAAAAGGAAAGAAACGTTACGGATCAAACGTCAAATTAAATATGTCATTTTACACACACTTAGATGATACAAACAAAGAACCAGGCAAACGCACAACAATTCCTCAGTTTTACGATGCATACAGAAATAAAACCGAAAATGGAAAAAAAAAAGATTATGATAGGCCAGCGCCAACTCAACAGAAACCTTACTATGGCCAAAACGATCATCCACAAAGAGAAGATATTATTTCGTCCAAACACAAATCACGCAGGATGCCATTAAAAAAGTATGCAGCTTCCAAATTTAAATTTCAAGATAAGCAAAGAGACATGATTGAAGCTGCTGGAGATGGTAATAATCAACAACAAAAACTAACCTTTGTACCTAAATCCCCTCGAAAGCAACGTAAGACAACAAACGTTCAAACGGAAGCTAAAATTACTAAATCTATTTATGTTGGTAAAGAGCATAAGTCAATGAATATTGCAACAGACGATGCGGCCCTTCAGCCTGAAGTAATAACTGAATTGATTCATTCGAGCAAATTCCCTAAAAGAAAGAATATTGCAATGGAGAATGAGATAATGGAGTCCCAACCAATTCAGTATGGAAAATCCCGTAAATCAGTTCATATTGCGGATCCTGAAGTAGTGCCGAAAGTAATTTATTCAGGCAAATATCATAGAGCAGTTCAGGTACCAATGAATCCCAATGAAATACCTAAATCGGTTTATAGGGGTAAATACCGTGAGAAAATAAATTCGCCGACAGAACCTGAAGCATCTAAATCCTCGTTTTCGAGTAAATATCGTAAACATATGAAAATTCGAACAGATCGTGCATCTCGTTTATCTCGTTCAAGGCGCACCAAGATGCCAGAAGAACTCGAAAAATTTTTGATGAAACCTCCACGAAGAAAAGTTTATACTATTGGGTCTAATATTAACTTCAGTATGCAGTTTTATAAAGAGGATGACTCTTTAGCTGTAGAAAAGGAACAAGAAACAGGTTCGTCTTTCTTCTTTTATTTTCAAACCAATACACACAAAGACATGACATTAAAGCACAACTGAACTTTTGTTGTAAGCTCAGTTGTGATTTAATGTCATGTCTTGAATGAGATAGATAGGTAAAAGACTTTATTCATGAAGGTTTTCATACATTTACACATTGTTTCACAAAAATGAATATATAATCAGTTTGTCTGTGGAAGTACATACATTGCACTCGGACACTTTAACATAAAGCTTTTCTTAGTTGTTGTATAGCTAGTATTACACTTTTTTTTATTTTATTTTTTATTTTTTTAGGTCCTTCACAACTGACAGTAAGTACATGTAGAAAATTTACAGAGTATTGCGCCAATTACGAAGTACACAATATACCAGGTAGAATAGGTAAACAAAAGTGAAGCCGTATTCATTAGTGCCTTCATGCGTATGCATTATGTTAATAAAGTGTGTGTTATGATTGTAGTATGTGTCGCGATGTCTGTGTGTGATGCGTATCTGCTTGGTTGTGAGAGTGGGTGTGTGTATTTATGTGTGAGGATAGGATTACACTCATACCTACCGTATGAGTGTAATCCTATATGATTGTGTATAGTTGCGTTAGACACCCTGATGTTAGCTGTTAGTGTTTTAGTCTTCTGCGATACAATCTTGACTGTACGTTTTTTAAAAGAGTTGCGGTGGCGATAAAAGGGATCCAGTGAGCTAAAAGTTTCATTGTAACTGTCTGCCATACGACTAAATGGTGACATTTTACTACATTTTCTTGAAGTGAATGGGACCGTCAGTATGGGTGTATGTCGTGTACGTTTGGGAGGAACGTTAAAGTTTACACTGCCCAAGAGTTCCGGAGAGTCAAATTTATTTTGAAATATATCGTATAGAAATAACATATCTATTATTTGTCGTCTATCTTCTAGAGTATTTATGTTACGATCCTCGCACGATTCTTCATATGACTACTAGATGAAATTTTTGTTGTATCTTCTCTATTTTCTACCAAAGTCACAAATCACGTTTGTTGTATGGGAGCCCCCTCAAATATTTATTTTATTCTGTTTTTAGTATTCGTTGGTATAGCGGCAACAGAAATACATCATCTGTAAAAATTTCAACTGTCTAACTATCACGGATCATGAGATACAGCCTAGTGACAGACGGACAGACAAGACAGACAGACGGACGGACAACGAAGTCCTAGTAATAGGGTCCCTTTTTACCCTTTGGGTACGGAACCCTAAAAAACATGCTAATTGTTGTTGTATTGTATAAAAATCACGATTTTCAAACTGTTTTTGTGTAACAAAAAGCTAATGCATTAAGTATTAGAATAGTGTATATTTACCCATACCGGGACCATCAACCGGGCAGTTTGGGAATTTAAGATAAGAAATAGAATTGTTACCCGTCTGTTTGAGCCTTTTATATAACCTTACACTGTAAAAACACGATTGGATCACAGTGATTGTGAGACACATAAACCCCTTATCTTTGTGCAAACCATGTACTGGATGATCGAGCATGATACCTTTAATACATGTAACAATACAACACAACGTATTTAAATGTTTCTGATTCTCTATAATCCCTATAATTTACAGGACAAACTGATGCTGGTTCAGGCATGATTGAAAAAATTAGGTGTTTTTGTACATCAAAGAAAAGAGGCACTCAAGACATTAAATCAAAAAAAGAAGGCCAAGGCGGTGACAAAGAGTTAGGTAAAGAAAGCAAGAAAGAAATCAAAGAACTAGTCAGTAAAGGCACTAAAGAAGAAGTATCAAAAAAGTCTCGTGAGATCAAATCAAAAATTTTAGGTATCAAATCAAATCAAACCAAATCAAATCAATCTAAAATGTTAGGTATGGAGAAGAGTGCGTATGAAGGTTCACAAAAAATTGAAAAAAGTGATTTAGTAGATGAAAGTCAAAGAGAATTAGATCAAATTTTCAAAAGTGAGCTGGCGATTGCAAAAAAACCTGACAAGACTAGAACGGAACTTACAAAAATAAACGAGAAATTAGAACACAAAGCACCAGAGAAGATCGAGAATATTGAAGAAAAAGTTCCAGTGAAAATTGAGAAAAGTAAACAAAAAGTTAAAGGTGAACACGAAATTACAGAGAATATCGACAAAGGTGAACACGACGTTTCAGATAAAATTAGAGTAAAATCTATATGTAAATGTAAAATGCCTGTTTGTACATGTAAATTGCCTGTATGTAAATGTGAATCCAAAAAAAAAGAAGGGAGAAAAGAGAAGGAAAAGAAAATAGAACGTAAAAAAGGACATAAAAATAAAAACGCATTATGTGATTGTGACCCGAAATCTCGGCGTTTACGAAGTAAATCAACTAAAGTCAGCTACGATGCGTTGTCAGTAAAGTCAGATGTTTTGAGTTACGATAAAAGTACTTTAACGGGAGGAAAACAATTTACTAGAAGTTTATACGAATGCGAACCACACGTTTGTATACCAGGTATATGTGACCCGAATGTGTGCTTTAAAATTTTTAAAAGTAAGAGGCCTGTTAAAAATATTGCGGTGTCAGCTACACAAGATGTTAAATCAAAATTAGTTAGTACACCTATTACATTCCCTTCCATGCCTTTAGCGGCATCAGCTATTAAAAGGTGTTTTTGCATTTTACAATTAAAGAATAAACCAGCGCAACATATGATCGAGAAGTCTATGACTCCTAAAAAACAAAAAAAAGATATTCAACGTCCTGAAGTACAAAATTTTTTACGTAAAAGTTTTGGCAAAGTAAGTACACTACTCACAAAACCAAAAATTTCAAGGCCAAAAGCTGCACTTAAGTTAGAAGCCGAGAACGTTCAGTTACTAAAACAGGGTATGGATATGAAACCGGCTGTTCCGGAATATGCGTTTGACGGCTCCAAATTGCCAGAAGTAAGTAGTAAGAAAAGGAAACGTCATATTTGTAAATGTCACAAAAATACTAAAGGAAAGACGGTATGTGAATGTGTGCAGGAATATCTAGATAGCAGTAAATATCTGCAACCTGAACTTCCTGATAGTTACCAACAGGAAAGAATTGAAACACCTCCTCACAAAGTAGCTAAATCTATGAAATCCAAAGCATCATTAGGCCGCCAAGATAAACCGAAGCTTAAGAAAATAGATCAGAAATTGTCCCTGAAGTCCAAATATGTGAAACGAGATGGTTCTGAAACAATTACAAAAGAAGCTGCAATACCTCAAACTAAAGTTAAATTAGGACAGCAACCTATATGTAAATGTAAAAAACAAGTTCTTCACAAGTCAGTTTGTAAATGTCAGCTACAAGCAATGGATGATTCTACAGCACTAGAGCCGGAAACTCCTCTTACGGATACAAGTGAGGAAAAAAAATTATTCCTTCAAAAAATTAAATCGATACCGCCTAGGTTATCTCAATCTCTTAAATTAAAATTAGCAGGCAGTATCAAAAAGAGAGATAAAACTAAACCACGCCAACCTTCTGAATTAAAAGTTGAAAAAACAATTTCGGAATTACGTAAAAGTAAAAGTGTGAGACGTAAGGATGAAAAAGTAAAAAATAATGTTATTTGTGAATGTAAGACTTGTAAATGTGCACTAGAGGAATTTCTAGATACAGAGTCTTCTAAAACAGATTTAGATACTAAAAAAAAGAAGCTAAGCTATAAAAATATTCCTCTTAGGATTTCTAAATCCTTAAAGCATAAGTCTTTGATATTAAGCACCAAGAAAACAGTAAGACCTAGTAAGATTAAACAGGAAATTCCAAAAAAGCCTACACCTCAAAGAGCTATGTCTACTGATGTTAATACACTCAAATCTGAAGCTTCTAGTATATCGATTGACAAGCAGAAGAAAAGTAAATCTAAAAGCCAGAAGCAGTCGAAAAGAAAGAAAGGTATATCAATATGCACATGTAAAGATATACCAATATGCATATGTAAAGGTATATCAATATGCACATGTAAACCTATTAAGGAGCACAAATCCTTAAAATCTAAGTCTATTTTATTGGAACCCCGTAAACTTGATAAGATTAAACAGAAAAGTTCCAAGGGGCTCAAGACTAAATCTTACGATTCAAACACTGCGACAATCACAAAGAAAACTAAATCCAAAACAGGAACAATCCAAGAGGAACCTGAACTTTATAAGTCAACTGAAAAATTAGGCAAAGTAATCTGTGAATGTCAACTTCATAATTTTGATGATTTAGAGGAAGAAACCACTGATGCAGAAAATTTAAGGAGAGGGCAGAGTATTATTAAAGCAACTAGAAGAATCTCTCGATCTCTAAAATCGCTAAAGTCTCCTTCGTTAGGACTTAGCCTTAAGAAGCAACCGAATAAGCCGAAAAAACAGGAAATTGATTCAGCGTCAGAAACTGAACGTCCTTCTATATATAAGAAAAAGAAAGGTGAATTCAAACAAGATAACATTTGTGAATGTCCACTGCAAGATTTTAATGATTTAGAGGAAGGGACTACTGATACAGAAAAGGTAAGCAGAGGGCAGAGTATTATTGAAGCAGCTAGAAGAATCTCTCGATCTCTAAAATCCCTAAAGTCTCCTTCGTTGGGACTTAGCCTTAACAAGCAACCGCAGAATATATATAAGAAAAAGAAAGGTAAAATTAGCATAGAGGCGGCGTCTCAATCTGCAGAAACCGAATCAATGAAGAAAAAGCATACAAGCAAAGAATCAAAGCACAAACCACACTTTATCTGTGAATGTTACCCAAAAAAATCTGAGCCGACTGATAAAGGTGTAATTTCTGAACCTCCTTCTCCAATCTCGCCACTCGGCGACTTAGCAGCCGGAGACACAAAATCTAAATCTATGAAGCCAGCACTTGGCGACCAAATCGTACAAGGTCTTCCTATAGAGACTAAAGCAGCGGGTGACCAAGAGCTCAAAGAAGTGGCTAAAGGAACAAAAAGGAAACGTAAATCTAAGAAGATTGAACAGCCTGCTACTCTTGCTGTGTGTCCCTGCTGTGGCAAAAGTAATCATATCCAATCCCTAAAATCTCAGCCCCAAACTGTATGTGAATGTAATAAATCTGATACCAGCTTTTTTAAATGTCTACGTAAAAACAAAAAATCTCCACCTGGACCTATGATACCTGATCTGGAAAATGCATGTCCTGTATGCTTAAGACAAAACTTAACTGACATTTGTACCTGTGGTCTTTCTAATGAGAGAAAGGATGTTTATCTCCCCGCTACCCATTTGCAAAACGTTTGCCCTGAATGTTCAAAGAAAAAGTTAGCTGAGGCTTTGCAAGAAGCTAGAAGCAAGCCTCCTCAAGCATCTAGTCGTAAAAGTTATTCTGGCGAACCCAATGTTCGTACCAAAATTGAAAGTCAGAAAAAAACAAAAAACAAAGATGAACCACCACCCCCACCGCCAATCTTTAGTATGTATGTTGACGCAACAAATATGAAGGTGAAAAACAAAGAGGAAATATATCGCAATTTAGGAATTGGTTGCAAGGACAAGCTCGAAGGTTGCTACCTCCCACGTAAGTGACTTTTTTCTTATAAAACCTTAATATCAATGGATATAGGACTAGGTAAAAAGGTTTCTAATAAAAGAAAACAACACCACATAGTTCCCATTCAATTGTCGCGGGTTCAATTCCCGCTCAAGTCAAACATTTGTGTGCATGAACATTTAATGTTTGATTTGGTCTGGGTGTTTCTATTATACATAGAAACACCCAGACCAAATCAAACATTAAATGTATGTATTTACAAAAAAAAAGTATATATGTATTTATATCAGTTGTCTAGTACCCATAGTACAAGCTCTGCTTAGTTTGGGACTAGATGGCGTTGTCTGAATGTAGTAGAATATATTATTATTATTATTATTATATTAATTTATTCACAAAGCCATAGATAAAATGTTTCCTACCACTTTGAACCTCGTAACTTGTCTGTTAGTCCACTTTTCAATTTGTCTATACTGTGATTCTTTTACACAGAGCGATATTGTATTTTAAATTTGAAATGTACATCTGTTATTATTTTATAAGGTTTTATTCTATCAAGACTATTTTATTAACACAAAGAGAATCTATAAATTATGATAAAAAATATATTTCAAATAACGCGTAAGTCTAGCTTTAAATAAAAAGGTTCAAACTTTCATTTTTTTTAAACAGTAGTTTTAAACTACGTGTTTTAATAAAATGTCTTACTAACGCACGATTTAAGTTTTTATGATAAGTTAGATACTGTAACTTATCTTTGTTTGGTTTGATTTTTAACAGCTCTTCAAAAAGGTCAAGTAGCCAAACCATCAATCGATTTGGTAATAGATAGAGATAATGCTAGTATTTTAAGGCCTGATGATATGATGCAGTCATTTGGAGATGGCGATAGAAGAAAATACAGTATTCCGAAAAAAGGAGAGACAAAGCAAAAAGCAGGAACAAGCCACTCAGTCGCTTGTCCAATTTGCAATCCATTACAAGTTGGGGGAGATGCCACTAAGAGCCAAGTAGATGGAAAACAAGATAAAGAACATGATAAACATTGTACTTGTTGTATTTGTACGGATAAGGACGGTAAACGTAAAAAAGGGCACCCTAAAAATTGCACATGTTGTATTTGTCGTTATGGATGTCGTTTCGGCTCAACGCGTCGGGCAACTGATTCCCCTGACGCAGAATCTTTGAAATTTCTTGATAAAAGTCAACTCTTGAAATATGATGAAAAGCAAAAGAAAAAAGTAGAACCGCCCAAAAAAAAACCAGAAGTAAAAAAAAAAGTTATGCCTGTAACTCTACAGGCTCAAAATAAACTTCGAAATTTTACTAAAGCTTTACAGGCACCTAGATCATGTTACTGTGGACTTCGAATATGCGATAGAGAAATAAAAAAACTGGAGACAAAAGCTTCTTCTGGATTGCAAGGTGAGATACCTCCCCCTTGTGTGTGTGGCAGCTACATCTGTAAAAAAAGATATACAAAAAAAAACAAATACTACAGATTGTTAGAAAAAAAGAAATCAAAGGATGAAAAACATAGAAAGGAAACTTTCCAAAGATGGAAAAAGGAGGCAAGAGCTCGAATAAAAGAACAAGATGCAGAAGATGCTGAATTGCGGAAAAGAGTATTACGTCAAGATAAAAAGGCCATGGCAGTACTTGAAAAGTACATAGATGATAGTAATAGTTGGGTTTTGTTAGCTGAGAATGCTTCTGAAATTGGCAGATTTGGCATTAATACAATGCGCCGTATGATTACGAGTTTCAAAAGATGTGTTCGTCATCCCTTAGATGTATGTTATAGAGCACAGATAGCTCGTGAAGATCCACGTCGGGCAGCAGCTAAAGCGTTGGAAGAATTTCAAGGTAGTGGATATAGCGGAATGGCAGCGAGAGTCAGACAAAGATGTGCCGCCATGCAAACGTCTAGATACCTGATATCAGCATTGGAAAGACATCCAGTCACAAATTATTTATTACATTTCCGAGATAGAGATCCAAAAAAACGACTATTTAAAAGAAAACCAGAGAAAGAACCACCAGAAGTTGAATGCAGTCCTTTTCTGACATCTCTACGACAAAAACCATGTCTGTGGTTATATCGCCTTTGCCCTTGGTTTTACCCACACTGTTTGGGTCTACTGGCTTTTTGGAGACAATTCACTGATGTAGTTTTATTTTTACTAGCTGTTGTAGTATGGAGCCCCTGTATCTTGCTAACGGAGTTTTGTAGAACTGTTATGTGCTGTTTCATGTGTGCCGGTGGAGGATAATTTCGTGTTTAGTCATGCATTGTTTCTTTTTATAAAATTAAATGACCGTAGTAATGCAATTACTTACATTTTATTTACAGAATAAAATATGTTGAAAAAAAGATTTTCTACGGTATCTTTAGCTTAGCTTAACTTAGCTCAATGGAAGCAAATGGTTGTTATGTATTGTTACTCTTACCTCTTACGTCGATTATACAAGTGCGCGGGACAGTATGTCATCAAATTTGATTTTCGCTAATATTTTGGCGCTGATAACAGTGTGATGTTCCGTGAAACTAATATTAGGAATAAGACATAACTAGCGATAAAAAAGTACTGCATATAGATTCTTGGTAGAATTTATACTCGAGGTATAAAAATAGTTCGTGTGCGTGTGAACTGAGGGACCATCCTGGAATACTACCATGAACTCTGCTAAAATTGACTTGTTAAGTCAATTTTAGCTATATTTTGTATAAACGCGGTGATCAGTAGGCGAGTCAGCAATCGCCAGCGGTCAGTGGTCACGTGATTAAACTTTTCACCAGCTTGACGTTACCATGAATTGATACGATATACGTTGATTCAGTGTTCGGATGTTTAACTGTCGTAAACAGTTAAACATCAGCAAAATAGTCCAGTCAATGAAAGCTTAAGTTTGCCATTTTGAGTTGATGACCTGCAACCAACGCGTTCGTAGATTAATTTACTAAAATTGCAAGGTGCTGCATTGACGGCAAAGGGTGCAAAAAATTGCAAAATGGTGCAAAAACGACTTTTTCGTCAATATCTCGCGACTGGCTGGGAAAATAGAAAAAAATCCTTATACATAGTTGTAGAAAATTAAATTTCCTACAAAAAAGGTTTTTGCACAAAATGCATTTAAAGGTGCAACTTTTTTTTTTTTTTATATATTTTTGATCATTTTTTTCCATTTTAAAACGATCCTACATGGTTCATTGGGATTTAATTAATATGTTTCGGACATTTTTTTATTTATTTATTCCTTTTTTTCATATAAGAATCTTGACAAAAAAAGGAGATAACTGAACACATCGTGAGTGGGGTATAGAGTAATGGAGCAGAGACCTGTCGGTCATGTACCTAATCTTTAACTGTATAATAACATTTATTTAGCAACAAGTCATGTAGTTTTTTTTTTAAATCTATATTTATTTAGAGGCTTTTATTACAAAAAATCTGTTATCCCCATCGTGGCTTATTCTAAGATATTAACTATGTTATGATAGGAGACAGGGGAAGTCGTTGCTGTGAAAATATCACAAATAGGTCTAACGCTGCATTTGAAGTAGGGTTACTTAGAATGCTTATGAACAGTCCTACATCGTACACATTAAGATTATATTTGCACATCAACGAGTTCCTCTGGCGCCGGTATTTGACACAATCCATCACTAAGTGTTGGACATCATCAAGGACTCCGCAGGTATCACAATCAGGTGTAACAACTTTTTTTATAAGATGGCCAAACTTTCTAGATAGATAGTGGCCTGAGCGCAGCCTATGCGCTGTAACAATATGTGTGCCCTATGTGTGCGTGGGCTTGTAAATATACAACTTTAATTCGTGTGGCGGTCGTCGTCCGAGCACCGCGTCACTGCCACACGCATTAGATTTGTATATTTACAAGCCCACGCACACATAGGGCCGCGCGCACAACTGAGTTGAACTATCTATATTTCTCTTTAACTTAATAAACCAGGGCATATTAGCTGGCTGATGTTGACCTGGTTTTGCCCTTGTCCATACTCTTCTCATCGAAATATTCTTTGTAATGTTTATAACATAGCTTTTTAATGTTGCTTAAGTATTCATAGTAAGACATTTTAATAGCGCAACTTATTCTGCCTGTATACGCTAGCTTAGCCAACGAATCCGCCTGCTCGTTACCCCGAAGCCCAATATGAGAAGGAACCCATTGCAAACTCAGTCTTCCCAGATGAATTGAATTCATGAATTTGCTTTAGCACCACATAAGCTATCGGTGCACCTCTGATACCAGAGGCGCACCGAACAATATGCTGCAAAGCACTTTTATTATCAGTTAAGATAACTATTCTGTCACTATTTAACGAAGCAGCTTCGCTCATAGCCTTTGAAATTGCAATAAGTTCCAGTGTCATAATGGATACACAACAGTCAATTTTAAAGTCAATTAAACAGTCAATTTAGGTATATTTTAGCTGTTTTGATTGAATCTAACTCTAATTTAACAATATAACTAAAATCTATAAAGGTAATCCATACATAGAGAGAACATTTCTAAAGAATCGGCTATGTATCTCATACAATTCACACACGTTAACCACGGAAACTAACAAAGGAATGTTTTTATGTTGCCAATATGAATTATTACATATTGATCTGAGATCTTCTACGAGCTTAATTGTGATATTATCTGTCCAGGACATACTCTTAATACAATACTTATAAGCAAGGTATATTCTTCTAACAAACAAAGGCGGTATGCAAAGTTCTGCCTCCATCACGTGTATGGGTGTACTTTTAATAAATCCACCCACAATTCTCAACGCCTGGTTCTGGATCTTGCCTAATTTGAATAAGTGTGTCTTAGCACTATTATTATATAAAAAGCTACCGTAATCAATTCTGCTTCTTATTAAAGAAATGAATAGTATGCGAAGGTGTTCAGGGTGAACGCCCCAAGATTGACCTGTGAGTATTTTAAGTAGATTTAAGTGTTTCATGATCTTCGATGAAATTTCATTGATATGTTTATCCCATAGTAAAGATCTATCTAGCCAAAACCCCAAATATTTAAAACTATCAACACATGAAATAATATCGTTATTGATAGTTACATTAATATCAAGTTTCTTACGACCTTTGCTAAAAATACAAATTTGAGATTTAGTAGGGGCTCTCTCAAGTCCAATTATATTTAATTTATCAACTAACATATTTAATAAAGACTGCAAATTATCTTTGCAAATGTTTAAATTATTGTGTCTTTGGTAGAAAACAAAGTCGTCTGCATATTGAGAAACCATAAAACCTCTGTCAGACAGAAGTTGACATATATTACTCATATGTGTAGCTAAATTAAAGAGTAAAGGTGAAAGAGGATCACTCTGTGCTAAGCCAGTACTTGACCATCTAGCATCAATCACTTGATTGTCAGAACGATTTCTTATAGTGAGCCACCTTGAAGATAGAAATGACCAAAGATATTTACAAATATAAATTCCTAACCCTAAATTGTCTAAAATGCGTATCATATTATCAACTAAAACATTATTATACGCATTACCTCCATCAATAAAACAAGCCACCGTAGGCAATTTATTAGAAAAACCAATCTGTAGTTTCTTTTTAAACATAGTAATTTCTTTAACCTTCCTGACTCTCAGAATATTGTTGTATATACGCAAAGCTGTCCTGAATATACTTTTATGCATCAGATATGTCTTGCTAGCAACTAAGTGCAATTTGTCCTTATGTCTTATGCGTTGACGATAGATAAATAGCTCAGAATGATTCTTAACAAATAATGCAACCTCCAGAATGTATAGGCTGGGCAAGGTTAAAATTATAGTTTTTTAAAATATGATACATACGAGTTTCCTGCACCGTGACTCGAGCTCTGATGAATTTTTGTCTGTTGGAAGGGATCTAACGATTTCGTCTTGTGATTTTGACAAGACTTGCGTTTTGGTAACTCTTAGGTGTTCTTGAGTGCCGAAGGTCTTTTTAATTTCATTCCAAAGTTATTCAAGCCACTGTACAACGTTGACGGGTCTGCAGATGGTGCTAGCCCGAGCCACAACTTCAATGTTTTAGTGACTTTGGCGTCCAGTGTTCTTAAATGGGTCTGGTTTATATCGTATACCGGAAACGGTAACTCTCCACCAATTGTAATCCCGGGGTCAAACAAAGGCAATAGCATTTGCAAGGTTTTGTCCGCATTCACTCCGTCCAGGTACAGAAGTCATCCACCGTACGCAGTAGTTTTTGGCACTTCTTCGGGTTACGTGTGAGGATCGCAAGGTCGTCTGCGAATGCTAAGATGGTGTAGAATCGTTCTTATCCACGATAGCGGGTTATGTAAGCAGAGATTATAAAAACACTTTTAACATTTATAAGTCACATATATTATTCACAAGCACGGGAAGAGTACGCAGAAACAGACATACGCAGAAAGTTTACAGTACAAAGCAGAGAAATAAAGCGAGAAATGGAAAGTTACAATACAAATGATCCGATTCGCGGCGTAGTCATATATCGTGTAACGACTGGCGAGGCAGAAAAATTCGATCGCGCTCGATTCAATTCTGAGCGCCTTCGTAACCGTCGTCGCTCGGCACAGCACTTACAAATTTTAATTTACTGTAGTATGATATAATTTAGTCACAAACTATTTTCTAAATCTATCTAACAGACTGTAATTTGCCTTTCATTCTTCCTAGCATCTGTGAGACTTACCGCAAGTAATGATGTATGTTCCAGACATCCAGAGATTCCGGGCATTAACCCTTTCTGGTAATTTGATCTGAAGTTATTATTGGTTTGACATAAACTGTATTATTTTAAATTGAAGACAAGAGAAAAATATTTTAGAAATGGGATTGGTAAGGGCTACCGGTCTAGTGCCCTGGAATCAATTACGTCACTTTTCTTAGGAATGCGGACTAAATTAGCTTTTCCAAAAGCTGTATGTATATACTCAGAAGGTGTTAACGCACTGATGGACATTTTGAGCTGATTTTGAATCATGATCATCAACAGTTTTTAATAGTCCACGGCTGGATATAGGCCTCTCCTTAGAAAGGACGTTTTTTCCTACTTTACCAGCTGGCCAGACGGGTTGGTATTGGGTTTGTGTGAAGTTTTACTGGGGGTGTGAGGGGCGAACCACCATCTTTCGCCCCAAGCCAACCTCACCTGCCCGCGGTGCATCCTGCTGAACGACGAACGAGGCTCTGGCGACCGACCGATGGCGGTATATCCATCCCAATAGGCGTAGCTAAATACAACAGGCC